TTCCATACTAATTCTCACCCTTTTTACCACAGGGTTGGCACTAGAAGCTTTCTTGGGGCCCATGGTGACTTATTTTGCAGAATATGGAATGTACCAAATGTATGCTTAGATGCGAGCACACTGGCTGGCTTGTAAACACTGGCATGCACGGGTCAGTTCAGGCCACACGTGGACGCGTCCCGGACGAATTGCGCGTGGCGGGTTTTTTAATGAGTGGCAAGGCAAAAATTTTGCGTTAAAATGTATCGTATACCGGATTTAACGTATACCGATGCCATCGTATGCCGGGGGTTCACTGTACTCCTCCCTCCTTGCATCACTTCAGTTTTGTAAAAACCTCTCATATTCTAACTTTTTCTCTCTTACTACTATCTTTACATCCTCATTCCACCAATCACTCTTCTTCCCTCCCACACCCACTTTCCCGTAATCATAAATTTCTGCTGAACACTCTAAAACTCCATTTTTAAACTTGCCCCATACATCATCTACCCCATTGCCTATACTCTCACTAGCCCATCTATTCTCCAATAGTTGTTTATAACTTAACCTAAACATTATATCTTAACATAAACATTGTTATTGTCAACTGCCTCCTCCTCTAGTTTATAAACCTTCACCTCTCTCTTGCTGCTTCCATTTTCCTTGTATCCCATCTATCTTTTACTCTCACTGTAGCTACAACTGAAAAGTGATCTGATATATCTGTGGCCCCTTTATAAACATGTACATCCTGAAGTCTGCCCAACAGTCTTTTATCTACCAATATGTAGTCAAACAAACTGTCATTACGACCTATAACATATCTTGTATACTTATCCTCTTTTTCTTAAAATATTTATTACCTATAACCATACCCCTTTCTATACAAAGCCCAGTTAAAGGCTGCCCATTATCATTTACACCTGGTACCTCAAACTTACCTACCACACCCTTTAGAAACGTTTCGCCTACATTAGAATTTAGGTTCTCTACCATAATTACTCTTTCACTTGGTTCAAAAGTTCCTACACACTCAACACTCACTCTCTCTCTCTCTCTCTCTCTCTCTCTCTCTCTCTCTCTCTCTCTTTCTCTCTCTCTCTCTCTCTCTCTTTCTCTCTTTCTCTCTCTCTCTCTTTCTCTCTCTCTCTCTCCTCTCTTTTTTTTTTTTTTTTTTTTTTTTTTTTTTTTTTTTTTTTTTTTTTTTTTTTTTACACACATGGTTTGACAAGGTTAAGGATCCCTACTTTATTGACAAGCTATTTACAGGTTAAGATTCCTAACTTTATTGACAAGCTAAGAGCTGTTACCTACATCAGCTCATTTGAAAACATTTTTATTGTTATGAGACATACAAGTAGGGAACAGATGAAGTTGGAGCCATCTGTGGGCCAGCATTTTCATTTGATCAACTGACGTTATCTCGTGACATCATTATGCTGAACGAATGTGTTCCATACTCGAGTCATCCTGGTATGTATGATCTCAGATGGAGTGATGTTCTGGAGAAGGGTACAGCCAGAGTGAAGTTGCTGCTTTCTGCCCTCTTGTGCATAAAGCTTGTTTCGCGCTGTCCTCGAAGTGGATCCAAGTGTGGTATTTGACAATATTGGCCTTGTACATAACAGTAAGGCCACCACATCCCTCCTATGTTGAAGGCTCTGCTGAAATGACAGATCCATCCAGGATGGGTCCAGGCGAGAGATGAGACGTCTTGCTCTGTTCTCTACTCTGTCAAGCATCGCAGATGAGAGGGGGACAGCAAACCAAAAGTGGAGCATACTCAAGGTAGTGGGCGTACTTGTGCCTCGTACAGTATCTTGCAACCCCTACTGTCAAGCAGTGCGAATCGGCGTAAGTTCTGTAAGCTTCCTGGCTGCCTTGTTGCAAGATTTACAACATGGTCTTCATGGTTAGTTTGAGTCAAATTTCACCCAGGATATCAACTTCTTCTCCAGGTGCCAACATCCTCCATTCATCTTACTACTGCACCAGCATTCCATCATGGTGCCTAGAGACGATCATCATTTGCGTTTTCCAGGTGCAATGTTAACTTGCCATCTATTTCCCAACTGATATAGCTCTCAGCTGGTGATTGATGTAGCTTAGAGCAGCTTGCATTTCTTCTCTTGATAAGTGAATGTCATGTGTACAGTGTCTGCATATGCATGTGATTCTGGATGGATGAAGAAGGTCGTTGAAGTAGACATTCATAACAGTGGACCCAGCTACATCTCCGTGGGAAGCTTGCCCAACAGTTCTTGCTGTATCCGTCCATAGGACTACACAGAGTCTACCATAGTAATCATGGGAATCTGCTAGAGCCCGAATTCCCAGTGCTTGAAAAGTTTTAGCTAAGAGCCCCTGTGCCCCAGTCAAAGCCCAGCAATGTCCAGTGCTACCAACACGTGACTTTGGATACACTCCTTAGAACGGTTGCCACTTAGTGGAGAGGTTTAACCAGATAGCAGAGAGTACCTTTCCTGGATTGCGATCAAAAGTAGTGAATGGTAGTCAAAACAATCTGTCATTTTCTTGAGATTATTTCTCAAGATCTCTACCAGTTGATTGACAGGAGTGACACTGGTCTGTATTGCTGATTTCTGCTCTGCTCTTCTTTTTGTGAACAGGGACTTACATTTGCCTCTTCCTCCATGGAGAGGCCTTTTGCACCTCGTACTAGGCCAGTGCTGAAGTGCGAGTTAGGTGCTGCTAGCTGGTCTGCCACATCTCTCTCACAATCTTGGGCTCAACTTGTCTGCCCACAGCCTTTTCTTGTCAAGTGTTTAAGGGATGCACCTCCTCTCTGCCTTTTTCACCCCTCTCGTTCTTGATACTTCTTGCAGCTACCGGTCTCCCCTTGCTGGATCAGAACTTGCCCTTTTGGTGCATGTTCGCAAAGCTTTCCGCTTTTCTCTACTACTCTAAGTCGGTCCCTTCCTCTCTTTGTGCTATCTTTCCTATCTGCAGTAACCTTTTCTCTCTTTACCAGGACCACCAGGTTTTTGCCCCTACCTTCCTCCTCATCTAACTTTTCTTTTTGTCTCCATCTCCATTTCAATCCTCACTTTTGACATCACCCATATCCTCAGCTTGCCTTGCAGTTCCTCTTATGGTCGTATGTCTCTTTCCTTTCGCCATGCTTTGTCTTACATATCGTCCCCTCTTTACACTCCATCCAAGCTGATCTGCTAGCTTTTCCATTTCTCTGGATGTTTCTCTTTCGTTCTTGTCCATCGTCTTTCACTTTGTTTCACATCCCCCTGGCAATGCATTTCCTGTTCGTTGTGCCATCTCAGCTCTCCTGCCCATTACCTCTTTTTCCTATCTCAGGTTGTCTTCTTCCTCCACCTCTTTCTTTGGATCTTAATCTTTTCATACTAGCCTTTGGTCATCCGTATCCAATCTTTCCCCAGGTTACACGTGCCCTCATTGCCTTCTGCCAATCCTCCTCTCTCTCTTTTTCTCTTTCTCTTTCTTTCTCTTTCTCTCTCTTTCTCTCTCTCTTTCTCTCTCTTTCTCTTTTCTCTCTCCTTCTCTCTTTTCTCTCTCTTTTTCTCTCTTCTTTCTCTCTTTCTCTTTCTCTCTCTCTTCTCTCTTCTCTCTCTCTTCTCTCTCTCTTTCTCTTTCTTTCTCTCTCTCTCTCTCTCTATTTTCTCTTTCCTCTTTCTCTCTTTTCTCTCTCTTTCTCTCTCTTTCTCTCTCCTCTTTCCTTTCTCTCTCTCTCTTTTCTCCTCTCTTCTCTCTCTCTCTCTCTATTCTCTCTCCTCTCTCTATCTCTTCTCTATCTCTCTCTCTTTCTCTCTTATCTCTCTCCTCTATCTTCTCTCTCTCTCTCTCTCTTCTCTCTCTCATCTCCTTCTCTCTCTCTCTCTTTTTCTCTTTCTCTTTCTCTCTTTCTCTTTTCTCTCTCTTTCTCTCTCTCTCTTTTCTCTTTCTCTCTCTCTCTTCTCTCTCTTTCTCTCTCTCTTTTCCTCTTCTCTATACACTATCTTCATCTCACTCTTCTTCTATCTCTTCTCTTTCCTTGTTCCTTCTTCTCCAGATGCATATACACTTATTATGATCCACTTTTTGCACGCCACCCTTATTTTAATCCACATTTTCCTTGTATTTATACATTTATATTCTCTCTCCTCTTTCCATAACTGATCCTTCAGCATTATTGCCACCCCTTCCTTAGCTCTAACTCACTCAGATATTCCTGACATAATCCCATTTATTCCTCTCCACTGAAACTCGTCTATCCCCTACAGCTTTGTTTTACTTAGAGGTAGGACATCCAACTTCTTTTCATTCATAATATAAGCAATCATTTCTTTCTTATCATCAGCACTACATCCATACACATTCAAACATCCCATTTCTTTTTCTTTTTCTCACTTTTAGTAGTTTAAACAGTAGAAGGTGTTACTAGCCCCTTGCTCCCAGCATTTTAGTCGCCTCTTACAACATTCATGGCTTACGCAGGAAGAATTCTGTTCCACTTTCCCATGGAGATAAGTGGAAATAAACAGGAACAAGAACTAGTAAGAAAATAGAAGAAAACCCAGAGGGGTATGTATGTATATGCTTGTACATGTATGCGTAGTGTGACCTAGGTGGAAGTAAAAATAGCAAGACGTACCTGAAATTTTGCATGTTTATGAAACAGAAAAGGGCACCAGCAATCCTACCATCATGTAAAACAGTTACAGGCTTCTGTTTCACACTCATTTGGCAGGACTCTAGTACCTCCCTGGGTGGCTGCTGTCTACCAACAATACAATTGTCAAATATTATGATTACATATGACCCTTGTAAGTTTAGCGCTTCTTTTGATTATAACAATAATAAAATGATTACATACTGATATTAGTTTAATTAATCACCTACTCTTCACCGAATTAAGGTACACATGCTAGTTATTGTATCAGTGATGCAATACACAATTCCTGTTAAATTTCTGAGTTATGTACTTGTAATACAAAACCAGTTTTCAAGTATGTATTGTAGTTAAATGTTTTAGAAACACTAACTTCAATACTTTAGGCTTTACTGGTATTTTTTTTCTTTGACATTTTTCCAAAACAGAGCATGATCACAAATCATAAAGGTTACCTCAAAAAAGATGTGAAATGTTGAATATAAAAGCATAATACAGAGATGAACATGCCACTTCAAAATCAACATGTGTGTGTACAAAACTTGTATCATTGTGAATGTTCTGATATTTGCCACCTTTCTTACAGTGCTTATTAAAGATTTCTCGTATGTTAAAAAAAATAAGTAAACAAAGACACTTGGAGTAAATAAATATTTTAATGAGAATGAGAGAAAATACAATATGAAAACACACAGGTACTTGAGAAGGGCACAGTACAATACACTGTCAAAGTTTCTGCTGTATTGCTACATGTTCTGTATGTTCCGGATTTTTTTTTTTAGTTACTGTATTGGCAAAATATTTTATATATCAAGACCACAAGTCAAAGGTAGATTTTAGGGCAAAGTCTGTTTTGAAAAATGGTTGACTTATGACCAAGAATATACTATATTGTACATAAATTTGTAAAAGTAAAAATTCCAAAAGAGGTCTTAAGAATAAAGGTTTTTTACTCCTATTGTAGCAGCTTTTTAATTAATAATATGAACTTTACATGCTTTGCTACGTCTTGAATGAAAAATTAAGTACGTACTGGATTATCAGTTACTAAATAAAAATGTTGTGCAAATTCACAAAGAGATACAGAGAGATGGACGGGGCGGTTCAGACATCTATTACAAAGGTATTTTTGTAAAATCAGACTTGGCAGACAGATGCATTTGGGTTTCTTCATAGTGTGGATACATATTTTGGCTATTTTCTGTATGGAGATAGAAATTTTCATATCACTGACCAATTTCAGCCCACTTGTGGGGTTAGACCACACAGTTTTAATACATATTATGCATTACTCAAGTTGTTAGGTATTACCCTTGCTTCTCACCCATTTTTTCCCATTACAACCTCTAAGTTGTTATAATCCAAACAAAACATCAGCAGTTTATATATAACAACAGAATGATTGAGATGGGTATCCAGATCATCCCATCCCTTGTGTCTATATGTTGACTTATAATCATAAAAAACACTGCTTTTCAGTATTTGCACAAGATAAAAAATGCAGAGTCCTTTGCAATGCATTAATATTACACTGTTTTGGCATATTTTCTAAACTGTATTTACAGTGCCAGACCTAATTAATGACCACTTAAAAGTTCCAATGAAATTGCAATTTTAAGCAAAATTATAGCTAGACACATTCTTTGGATGAGCAATGCCATCCTCACAACACTCATTAAAGTTGAGTCTTGATAGCACAAGACCCTTTTTTTAAGGAAATTGTCTGTCCAAATTGTTCAGTTGTCTGAACCACCCCTGCTCCTCCCTACAGGATATAATTTTCCAAGCAAATTTTATACTATTTCTCTGTTTAGATTTAGCTAACCTTACCTATCCTATGATAATATTAACAGTGATATATTACAGGCTTTAATAACTGCTACTGTATAACAAAAAATCTGCCCTCAAGCAGTGTAAGGGCTAGAGTCACTGCATGTGTAACACACACACATGATGAATTGGCGCTTATAGGTCACAAAAAAAATGCCTTGTTCAAGTTCAGTCTGTGTGGCACTATTCATAATGACATTTTTGAGTATAAAAATATTCACAACAAATAGCCAGCAAGCTGCAGGTTCAATTACATTAATCAATAATGCTTTAAGTTTATATTTTACTCAGAGACATCTCTAAAATTCGATTGAAGTTACAGGTGATAATACACCTATTTTAATGTAAAAATAAATTACCTTTGATATTTAAAAAACTGAAGTGTCATAGAATTTCAGAGGGCAGATTTAACTAAACTGGTTTCTATTCACAGGCTGAGCACATGCTGGATTCCTATAGTACTGTACAAGTTATTTCACAATAAAATCTACTGAGCTTTTTGCAACTATGCTTTATACATGATAATGCTTCTTGAAATGGGCATGCATTGTGCCAAGAATGTCAGTTATCCACCAATATTGGCAATATATACTATGTCACACTAAAATATGTAGTTCATTTTTTTTTGTATCTCATTTTATAACTAGGAAATGTTTGCATTTTTCTATTTGCTCAAAATAAAGCAAGTTTTAATTTTGCATACCAGAAGCAGTTGTGATAACTGTCAAGTTAATAGGGAATATGGACACATTTGTCACTTATTAAGTAATAATGCACATACATAACATATAATACCTGTCGGCTCAAAGTAAAAAGCACAATTATGATAATTACCATCAATTAACTCTATCACTCCTATAAAAGCACTACACCGATCTGTATTTTTTCCATAAAACACACTATATCTGATTAAAGCACTACATCAAACATAAAATCTGATACAGAAATTTCTCAGTAATTCATATGACTTTCATTTTGTCTGGAAAAAGGCTGGCAGAAATTCCTTAACCACCTGCTTCACAAAAACATTTATCATAGGACATCCTTCTTTCTTAGATCACAATCTTTAATGGGTACAGTACTTAAATTTTATTTTTTACTCCATCTAAGATAAAGGATGGATCCTATTCAAATTTGAGCTGACTTGGCTGCGGCAATACACAGAGCTGTTCTAACATTACACATGGTAAGTAGGATTGGTGGGTCATGCTAGGTCATTATAAAAACAAATTCTGCTATTCTTTACCCAGGGAGACTTGAGACGTACACAAAAGCCTTGACACTTGCTGCTAGTAATGTTTTCTGGTAATAAAATGAAAAATATCTCAAAAGTATTCTTAGTGTTTCTCACATTTAAATAGTTCCATCACATTACTGTAAAATAAATCAAACATAATAAAGTTAGGTTTAGCCAAAAGTTTTAGAATTGGATATTATAATATAGTATTGTACTATGTACTCAAAGACATGGAAAAACTATCATTACTGTACACAACTGATTACTTTTAGAAATACAGATATGAAGATAACTCTGTTTTTCTTTGCTTTTTGACCGAAGACTTAAGACATAATTGAAGTAGTACACAACAACCCCGTATATTGGAAATGAAACCAGATGATGTTTTGGTTCATCTATAACAGTTGTCAACTTATTAGTGATAATGCTCCAGGAGAAACAAATGTCATTTCGTTTTGCCTTCAGTTAGTAAGTTTGTTGTAAATTGTTTCTTAGACAGTACTGTGACTTACCTTCATTAATGCAGTACAGTTCAGTGTTACAAAACAAACTTAATTTTGATGAAGCTGAGCAACAGTCTGCATAATATTCAAATACAGTACCTCTTTTATTCATCAAGTATACAAATTACTGTAATTACAGCACCATGTATGTTTTTTGCACTTTTAACTGTGTATATATGAGATTATTGATATCTGAGTCTGTCTTATAAAACAAATGCACTATGCTATATAATTTTCCAAAACACTGGAAAATAAACTTTTGGCCGTTTATCACTTAATTCAGCCTTCGAACAATTTAATTTTAGCATATGTACACGAATAAATGTTTGATTTGGAACTAAATTTGAAAAAATGTTTGTGTTCAATCTCCTATAGAAATGTGACTTCCTCTTTGTATGCCAGAGAAAAAATTATGCAAGCAAGATAAAGAATTTTTTGGATTTGTTTAGGAACCATTTAAACTGTTTAAACCATAGAGTCAGTATTCCATAAAATCAGCATTGATATTTGTACATATAGGGTTATATTGGACTAATGTACATTTTAAATTTTTATTAAAAATATCCATGTTATGGTGCCATAATAACAACAATACTACCTTCTGTGAGGTGTTGATATATTTGTTGAGTTCATATTTGCTTTGCTCATTGTGATATTTTTATCCTCACCTAATTTTGTGCACTTGTATGCTTTTGATATGTGAATAATATGGCAAACCAAATATCCTATTATAAAATATACAAATTACTGATTTATTATACATATGCTATGGAAGCATTGCTCCATTCTGACAAAATCTAGTTACAGATATGCCATAGTGAATAGCATTTGTTATTTTTAATGAATTTTACTTTTATTTTTTTTTTGTCATGACTAATATGTAGAGGCAGCTTCAATGGAAATAAGCCATTTTGTCTGACTTTTTTGGGTTATCCTAGGTTCTTTACACATATGCTGCTATATATGTAACTGTTTTCGTGTATACCTGAATAAACTTTCTTAACCTTCTCTGGAGCTTGCAATAAGCATTAATCAGTCAGACTCAACCCACTTTAATACAGAAAATAAGTTAATTATCTTTATACTGCAATTAATTCAAACATCAGCTGGACATTAGTACTGTTATGATGTAGGATATCCAGCTTATATCTTCATTTCTTTCCCCAAGAATATAAGAAATGTTTATCATAATCTAATATAGCTGGTTCATAGTGCAATTTATTTCAAAGATAGCCAGTCTTGGCTTCTTACTCTAAAAGTTACTATTTCATAAATTTCAGTTTGATTGATTTCTTGACTAAGTTGGTTTAGCACTTTCAAAATGCCTAGCCATGCTAGGTGTCCTAGTGGCTCCTTCTGTAATTAGTATTTTATAACATGTAAACCACAAAATACCCAAAACCTGTAAACCCCACATTGTAACCATTATAGAGAATAAACTTGAATTGAATTGAATAATTAACAGAAGTTGAATACAGTACTGCAGATCATAATGGTCGGTATATTATTATCCACTAACACCTGAATCTTTGACTTCTTTCTTTTTACCATCAATCATCCAAGTGGACTCAGCTTTACTTATGGGTAGAGGGACATCACTAAGCCAAGGGCTTCCTGTCCCTAACACAAGCACAGTATACCATGCCTTATAAACAGAAAATAAAATATCGGTTATATAGTGTTATGGTGTATGAGATTCTGGCTTTCTAAATTATTATAATAAAAATATTAATACTAGAATTAAATAAATTCCTCTTTATTTTTGGAACAAATTCCCAAATCTTAAAATAAAATAAACTTACTCAGAATGTCTTACTGTTTAAGACACACACAATAATGAAGTGGTCATTTGTCTTCAAAAAAATAATGTATTAAGCTCAGTAAATCATTATTGTAATATGAAGACATATCAGCTTACGATATACATTTTACATCGGGGTATCTGGACGTTCTCTAATCCACTTCTCAATCTTGGGAAGTTTAACAACTTTTTCGACTAGACTTTTGAGTCGAGGTACTGCTTCCAAGGAGCCTTCATGGTGAGAGCTGAGCTGACTCAGGTAACAGGCAGCAAACACATCAACCCATGTCATCTGTTAAAAGGAAGTGTAGCTGTAAAAATCTTTTAAATCATTTGAGCAATCATGTATACAGTACAGATGCTCCTCGCTGTATGATGGTTCGACTTCAAAATTTCAACTTTAAGATGGTGTTAGGCACATACTGAAGTCAAAATATCACCATCATGCAGTACTGCACATTTATTGATAGGATAAACTTGCAGTTATTTATTTATTTTTCAATACTGGTATTTAGTTACAGTAATGATTTTTTATTTACTCAGTGACAGTAGTTATTTATTTACTTATTTACTTCATATACATATTCATATTCGACTTAGGATAATTTCAACTCACGATGGGTTCATCAGAACGTACAGTAACCCCATCTTAAGTCGAGGAGCACCTGTATATTGTGTGCAAAATGCCTTCATTCAGAATTTTTCCACAATGTTTTTATCATTATTATGCAAATAATAACAGTTCTAGTAATGTTTATTATGTACAGTAAATATTATTTTAGCATGATCCTTTATTGTACAAATTTCTTAAGTTTAAGTAAAACTCTCAAGAGATGTTCAACTCTGTCACTTGGGCCTAGATTATTATTATAATCAAAAAGAAGCGCTAAGCCACAAGGACTATACAGCGCTGCAGGGCAGGAAGGAAGCGAGGGCATCAGGTGGCAAAAGGGAGATGGATGAGTAATAGGTTACGGATAACAGTGGGGTAGTGGATGGTGAAAGGGTAAAGGGCAGAAAGAGACTGAACTAGAAAGGGCTGAGGGGAGTGCGAAAAGTATCATCAGAGTTTGTGGAGTAAATCAGTCGTTGTCAAGAAGTCAGTGAGAGAGTCAGGATTAAAGGAGGGTCCATCTGCAAGAAGGGAAGGTAAAGAGAGAGTAGTAGAACGAAGACGACGTTGGAGGTAAATTCTGCGTGCTCGTTGATAGAGAGGGCAGTCTAACAGAATGTGGCTAATCGATACTGGAACTTGACACTGCTCACAGAGAGGAACAGGGTGCCTCTCCATGAGATACCCCTCTTCAAGGGGGGCTCCTTGGCGTGGTGAAGAGGCTCTTGGTCTGAGGAATTAGCCCTGTCGGTCTTCTTCCTCAGACCGAACCTAATTACCCCCCATTCTCCCCTCCCCTATCCCATCCTCCCCATCCTCCCCTTTTTCCATTCCTCCTCCTCCTCCTCCTCACCCCTCCCTTTTGCCCTTCCTCTTTTTGGCCTTCGGGATTTCTCCCACAGGCGCGCTAGTTCCTAGGTAGGGGAAAGGACACCGGGGTCCATCCCATTCCGTTGAGGTTCTTGGCGGTGGCGTAGTTTGCCGTGGAATCTGGATTGCCTGGGGATGTCCCGATCCCTCTCGGTATCCCGGAGTAGCTTTGGGTGTCTTTTGGGCGACGGGTGTATCTCTGGAAGCCACCTTTTGGATTCCGGGGGTGGTGGCCGAAGGAGGTATGCTTTGTGGTGGATATCCGGCCGCCCTCTCTTTTGTCCACCGAGGTAGCTCGGCAGATGTGAGGTTGCTATCCCGGATTGCTGGTTTACTGGCATGAAGGGTAGGGTATGGCACGGGTTCCATGCTGCATCTGCGCTACTAGCGGTGTTGAGGTCCTCTTGGGCGCGGAGGGAGATTTCCGGCCCTTTCATTCCTCCTGGGAACTATTCCTCCCCGCTCCCCCCTTTTTTTATTCTTTTTTTTATTTTATTTTCTTTTCTTCTTTCTTTTTTTTTCTTAAAAACAAAAAGCAAAGGAGTAACCTAACCATGGCAACCCTAGTCCATGAAACCACTACCCCCGGGCCCCTTCTTGATACCACACCCCATTCTGACCCTGCCTTGTGTTTAGACCACTCTTCGGACACTCCTGATGCCCCTGTACCTCTTGCTGGTGCAGTTTCCTCACCCGCTTCAGGTACCGGGGCTTCGACTGACTCCTTTGATTTGTCTGAACTCCGCTCTCCTTTGACTATGCTTCCGGCTTCTCCCTCTACGGTACGGCAATTTTCGAATCGCCCGCCCATTTCATGCCGGACCAACTCCGGTCCTACTCCTAAACGCCAACGTCAATCTCCTGATGATGCTCCTTCGTTACCTTCCCATTCTACTCGGAAAAGACCGACACGTCAAGCACTCCCTCTCCACGCTCAGATTCGGACCACACAATGGACAATTCTTTACTTTAAGACCAACTTCTTCTTCTGCCTACCTTTCTGACCATAGTATTCGCAAAGCGCTCCTGCGTCATGTTGGCAGAGATATTTCATTTCACGCTCTCAAGAGCGGTACGCGCATCGTCACTGTCCAGAATGCTACCCAAGCTCATGATCTTTCTCTCCTTTCAAATATCGATACTACTCCTATCACTATTGAAAAACATCTTTCTCTCAATTCTTGTAGTGGTACTGTCATTCTGCCCCATACCCTTTAAAAAATTTTCC